AGGCTTGCTTGTTTTTTCCCCTCTGTCTTTTGCCCGTGGTGCTAAGTTTTTGGGGAGATGTGACAGCAACAGGTTTCTTTTGAATGTTTGTGCTGCATCTGTCTGTCCTGCGGGTTATACAGGGCTTGATTGATTGGAGCTGTCTACCTAGGTAATGCTGTAGCTAGTAATGTTGACAGCCGGTTTTCTGATTTGTCTGTGTGTTGGGATTTTTTTTATCTTTGTTTTTCTGTCTGGTTTAAGGCAAACCTAGGAGGAACATGGGAAAGGTGGCTAGGTTTAACTATAAAGGATCAGAGGAAAACTGGAAACTCTGCTCTTTACATCTCATACAGCAACATAGTGAAATATCTGAACAGAAGTGACCGCCTTTTGTCTACTTTTGGGATAGTATATTTATAAAATCTGCCTTCTAACTAGTTCACTATGTTATTGCCCGATCATACTGGCAGAGATGCATTTTTTTTAATACTAATGAACATCAAACCTTGGGTTTTAACGATGCAGCTCTGACCATGAAGTTGTAAAGTAATCTCCAATTATATATCGATCATCTTGTATAGGCAACAAATGTGTATGTGCAAACTATCGCAGAGATATTAACTATTGTACATCAACTGGATGTCTGCCCTATCTAAGTGAAAGTTTAAGAGTAGATGGGTTGAGTTCTTTGCCATATATTCCATTTCTACTTTTGGATCAGAATTTCATTATAAAATCTTTTTATGCGATGTATGCAAGGAAGAATTCCATTAAAGTTCCACTCCTTGTTTGTACGAAATCTTTCATGATGTTTATCACTACTTATTTTTGACTGTCTGTTTTCAGCACCAGTCAGTCAAAGTATTTTTTGTCAAAATTAAAATATTCATATATTGAAGTTAATTTGTGATATTGTCTTACTCTAACTATACAGGGCCAAAACAAAACTGAAAACTGTGCTCTGCCTCTCAGATCCCACTGAAAAACAGCAGCTTTATTCTGAGGATATACAAACTTTTCAAAACATTCTTTCGATTGCTTAGTCTGGACTCTTATCAGAGGCTTGTTTATTTTATTGGATTTTTTTGAAGACATGACAGGAACAGTAGAGAAGATATGTGCATCAATTATGTATGTTAACTGTAGTCAGATAATTTTAACAAGTCAGTATCTTTACTTTTAGACCTGTTCTAGTTCATAAAAATAAAAATATTAGTACTATCGCAAAGTATTTAATTAATTCAACTAGATGTAAGCCTCTAACCACTTGTCTTTATTCATGATTGTCTCACTGCTTTCTGATTTATTCTTTTGCATCATGTTTGGAACTGCCTGGTTTATATGCACATCTGCTAGTTCCCTTTTCTCCCTCACATTTTACCTGAAAACTTTAGCTTTTCATCACCTGTTCTCTTGTTAATGATCCATATCTTAGCTCCTTGACTGATTTGCTTAATATTTAATGTTTTCTGCCCTTGGAAATTCATCTTCCCTATACTCAATAAGCAACATGCAGATTATGAACTGCATGAATTTTGAGCCTCATCCTTTTATTCAGTGAATGCTGCCTTTGAGTTGTACCTTCACTAGTCAAAGCCTTGCCTGAATATCATAGAAAAAGATTTCTAAAAAGAAAGTGTTACTCAGCCAGCGTGTTTTATGTTTTGTATAAATAACCTTAAGCCTGCAAAATTGGTAGTGCCTTTTTATTTAAGTTATTCAATTATAAATAGTTAGATATTGTTTTTAAACACTGTTGCAGAAGTAAATGTTTCAGAGTTTTGTGTCATATATTATAAGGCTACCGTTAATGTGAGTATTTAGAGTGTATGTGAAATAGGGGTAAATGGAATTTCCTGCTTTATGAACAGAGTTAGTTGTTGATGAGGAAAAATTAGTCGTGTTTGCTGTGTAACTGAAAGGTCAGCAACTATTCAGATGCAATATATTGTGGAGTATCCAGTTTCAGAAAGAAATTAGTGCTAAGTTTAGTCTCTCGGTTCCTTTTGGTAAAACTTTTTTTCTT